CCCCAAAACCCCAAAACCCCAAAACCCCGTAAGTTAAATTGGATAAGAACAATAACTTAGAATGGACTCTTTTTGCCTTAATTAAACTACATTAGTTTACTATTTGAATATACTAATAATTAAAACAATAATTCTTAAATATGAAAATGAGAAATTATCATCATGAATTTGATTACATGCCTAGTCATTTCTATCACTGGAATGAAGACAAGTAATTCAAAGCAGCTGTATTCTATCTTAAAGTTAATTAGCCTAAAATTAGTGAAAACCTTAAAATTTAGCTTTGTAAAAATAGAAAGTTCTTAATTTTATTTAGAGGCCTTAATGTTACACTCTTGCAAAGGATCTATCAGAGATAATGAAGACATGCAAGATGCATTAGAAATGGACAAGCAGGAGATAATTTTAAGTGAATTACATGCCATTAAAGAACTGAGTGTCAATTAAGCAAAAAAATAGTATATATAATAATACTAACAATACCCTATAGATTTGTAAATCACATTACTAAGGTTAATCCAGTTTGGTACAAAGATGTTCGAATGATGATGAAATTTTTAGAAAATCCAGATAAAATCTACAATCCAAAAGATGAAGATTATAAGTAGTTGATTTCTCTAGAAAGTGATGATATTATCAGATAAGACCTTAAAACTCCACTTTCTCAAGGTGGTATTGACAATTCAGATAGTGAGATTTATCAAATGAATAGAAGCATCAGAAGAGATTACATAAAGATGACTGATCATGCTGCTGACAATTAACATCATTTTAAGAGTGAAGAAAATAGATAAAGCCTTATGACGAAACGTACCCATCATCAATAGAGTCAACCTGAGATTGCAGCAATATTCAAACTCTTAGCTGACAACAAGAATCAGCTATTTACCAAGGTTTTAAAGAATAGATAGGGGAATTCGCAGAAATAAATGCCAGAGGAAAGAAATAGAGCCATGTCTAGTAGTCATTCTGAAAGATTTCTTCTTGGAACAGCTCACAGTGGTTTAAGGAATTAAAGTGAAAAAGAAGTAACCCCTTTTGATGAAGCTAGTTAAAGAAGTAATATATTCACATCTAGAAGACATCTTTACGATAATCAATAGTCTTTTGGGGGAAATTTTAATTTAAAAGCAATGACTAGTGCTTAAACGCCATCTTACACTCATAGAGAAAAAATTAATCTTAATAAAGATTTCGAAGAAAGAATAAAAACAGGCTAGCCTTTGAAGTCAACTAGAGAACTAATGAAATTTAATAAGCAGGAATTATTTAAAAAGGAGTAAGCTAAATAGCAAATTCATTTCAGCGAAACATAGAGTAGCGATCAAAATGAATACTATTTTAACCAGATTGTAGAGAAAGCTATCAATAAAGATATGAAAAATTATCAAGATAATAAGTAAAAAGAAAAAATGAATAAATTATCAATCAACTAACTCTAGCATTAACCTATTCCAATAAGATTTTCAGGAGATATGCTAATGGAAAAGGCTTAAAAGTCAATGATTATGGATGAGTTGTAGAATATGAATTCACTCATCCAAAATCTTAATGGGATGCTACAGAATAAGTAACTTTAAGAGTAAAGGATTCATTAGATTAAGAAAGCTACAAGTGTGGAAAATTTAGACTTAGATCAAATCAACGAAGAATTGGCGAAAGATTGTACTTAATTTGATAAAATAATAAACTTATTCTTATCTCAGAAGTCTCAAATTCATAAGCAAGAGTCTTAATTCCTATCGCAATTCTATGACATGATGAGAGGGACTATTAGTCTAGTACAATAGCTCAATTGGAAATTCAGAGAAACATAGGAGAAAATAAATATAGGGAATCAGAAATTGAAAGACTAGGTATAAAGCTTTATTGAGGCATTACAGATCATTAAGGATTTCAAAGGTATGTAGGACTATGACTTATTTGGAAAGGGAAAAATTACTGAAGAGCAGTTAATGAACCTTTTCCATTAAACTAATTGTGCCTTAAAAATATCAGACGAGCCACTTGCTATAAAATAAGCAAAACTACTGGAGCAATACTACGATTTTATTCATAACTAAGAAAACAAGATTTTAAATGGAAAGAAGAAAATTCAGGACTTGGAGGCTGAATTAGAACATCATAGAAGGAAAGCATAGGAATAGTTAAGCAAAGCATATGTAGATAATCAGGAGATATGCAAATTATCTGATGCTCTGAAAGAGAAGATTGAATAAACTAATTTCTAGCAGGATAACCACTTAGAAACTCTTTATCATTCAAGGCAAAAAATACTTAACGACGAGTTAGAAAAGGAAACTAAGGAGAAACAGTCGGCATTAGATAGACTAAGGAAAAAGAAGGAAGATCTGAGAAAAATTAGAGAGTAGCTTTAGAAGATCACGAGCAAAAAATCTTAAGATGTAAGTATTTCTAAAGTTTTTATATATTTCATTAGCAATAAGTTTAATGTAATCTTGAGAAAGAGGAAAAAATGAAGTATCATTCAAGGCCAAAGCCTCCTGTAACAAAAATGCTGACCATTTTTGACGAGGTAATTCATGGTACCAGCACTAAGAAAATACCAACTTCAAAATTGGAATCTAAGGTTCAAGGCGGCAGTACAAATAATCTTTCAGCTTCATCTAAAGCAATAATTAGTTCTGGGGCAAAAGCTGTTGTATAGTCAAAAGAATGGGTTTAAGCTCTAATTAATCTAATATACATTGATAAGATAAAGACTGATATGGAAGAATTCAAAGAAGGTAAACCCATACAAAGTCTGAGAGAATTCGTTATTCAATGGTTCCTAGTCAAGTTCGGAATTAAAAAAGTTGCTGAGGCTCTCTTATAGGACTTTATAAGAAGTTTGATAAATTATGAGCCAATTCATGAAAGGTTCCGAACATTCTTGATTTTTTGTGGAGTTCATGTTCAAAAAGGACTTAATAGAAATAGAGATAAAAAGAGTGACTTACTCTATGAAAAACAACTAGAATCAATTGACACATTTAGAATATACTTGAAATTAGCTCATACTTTAAGAAATGCTTGCACCCCATTCTTACCAGATATAAATTGTGAAGGGTAATAAAGACTACCAAATGGAGTAGTTATAAACTATCAGGAATCTAAATAAATATTCCTTCAAATCATGACGGAGGAAGGAGTGAATACAAGTGAACATTTTACTAACCTTGATATCCCATTTTAAGAATTTTTAGAAGATCAAATTCAATATGGAGATAATAAAGTGAAAGGCAAGCAAAGTTATATGTAGTAGCAAAGTCAAAGCATGAAAACTGGTGGCTAATTTTCAGGTATGCCAAAGAAGCATCAAGCTGATGACAAGTATATCAATATTGACGTGTTCTTGAGAATTTGTATAATGGAGTATGTAAAGATAAGGCTTAATTAAGTTGACTAAATATTATCTGCCCTTAAAATATTAGAATTCAACAATTACTGTGACATCCTTTATAATGATTTTGAAAGCTCTGTCAAAATTTCCTTATATAACAAATCAGAAAAATGGATTGAAGGAGCCTACTCATATTTGATAAATAATCTTGAAGATAGTTATTTTACAAGGGAAGATGTCGTTATTACTATGCTTCCTTGGATCCATTCAACTGCTTTTGTTAAAGATTATACTAACAAACATAAAGCATGGATATATGTTAAAGAGCTCGAAAAAATGAATGTAATAGAACCAACTTGGAATAGTGGACCACAGGAAGAGAAAAAGAGTCAAAACTAATCAATGATGAGCATGTCTAATAAAGTTGCATAGAAATAAGGCACTCAATAAACTGTCAATCTGAATAATAACAATACACCAGCTAGTATAACAAACTTAAAACCAAATCCAAATGGACTTGTTGCTGGAATGACAAGAATTACTATTCCAAAAAGCATTGTTCCAGGTACTAAAATGCTTAAAGATCCCCTATCTTCAGCTTTTATACTTGAAAAGAACTTTAAAATCATGGCAAGCTTTTTCTCTTCAGTAGAAAGTGATCTTAAAGAAATAAACTAATTGTATAATCTAGTTATGGAAAAAGTGACATTCACTAGAAAATCTTTCATTAATCAAGTTGAGAATATGGATGCTCCAGCTTAAGATGAGGGAGCTTAAAAATCTGAAGCTCAAATGACATATCTCACTGGAAATTCTAAGTTCATTAAAACATGCATGGTAATTTCTTAGACTGGGTTAACTGAACAACAGGATTAGACAAATGATGGTTGGTCTCTATTTAGAAAGTTATTATATTTAGTTGTGAGTAGACATAAAAATATTGACATCTGAGTTTAGTATACTAAAAAGCTTTGATTGACTTTTTAATTCTAAATTTTATAATCTTAATTTCATAATTACTTCAAGTTAAAAATGAGAAATATTACTAAAAATTATAGCAACTTGAGGAACATATCCCTCCCATTTAAGCTGTTGCAGTTGAATCATGAAAGTGCATTTTAAGGTTATACAGGAGACTAATATCTCAAATAAGTTGTAGATAAAACATTCTTAAATCATTAAGTTAGAAGCTCTTTAGAATTATAGTATGCAATGCTTTTAAACTCAATAAGAATGAATCAAACTAAACCAATAGATAGTATTACAGAATAGAATGTATTTAGCAAAAAACTTCAAGAATCTCTTAGGAATATTTAATAAAACCAAGATAGATATACTTTCTAGTCATCTTTGGATTTCGGCATTCTGCCTCAATGCAAAATTGAAAGCTTCCTGATTGTTGAGGATTTATTTATAAAGCCCTCCTAAGATAGAAATATCACTGGCTTTGATAAAAGTTTATACAGAATATATAAGCTATTTTCGAAATCTTCAATAAAGCGCAATCTTATATTGAAAAAAGATGAATCTATACTTTCAGCATTATTTAAGACTAGGATTTTAAGAATTCACTGTATAATGTAAACTAATATAAAGCTTAAATTAATTGATAAGGTCTTGAATGAAACAATATACGGCTCTGAATTCAATACAAAAGATTAAAATGATCTGAATAAGTTTGAGGAAAGAATAGTAGTATTTGAATGCTTAGATTATTAATGAGCATTTAAGGAAATAATATTTGACCCTAAAACTTTAAGAATGAACAAAGATTTGATCGAAAATCTTAATTTAAAAGAGCAGTCAAACCAAATTAAAAGCAGTTTGGAGTCAGAAAAATTTCTTGATAAATCTGGATAATTAAAAAATCTCCCAAAAAATTACTAGATGAAAATAAAGAATAAAATGTCTTAGTTATAGAATGAAAAACATAATGAATAAAAATCTATCTCATCTTACGATGATCTACTATCCTAAGTTGAATAAATGGATGATAGAGTTTTATAGCAGAGGATAGAAAAAGGATGGAAGATTGTAGATCTTGATTATTGGCTAAATGGAAATAGACCTTTCAATTGAATTAAGATATTTTAATTTCTTCATTCAAATACTATTTTGATCGAGTGGGGTTTTGGGGTTTTGGGG